TTAAACCATATGTTTGTCCCGAAATGACTTAGTCTAGCTGTGTCGAGTGGACGTTAAACTCCGTTTCTCTCTCTCTATTGGCAAGGGGAAATCACGCTGAAAAATCCAGAGGAACTCTCTCGGCCAACACATCGATCGAACCGGGAGGGCCTGATTAATGGGCCTTACTCATCTATAAGTTCTAATAATGTGTGTATGCGCATAGCATGCACAACGCGCGCGGGGGTGGATATGGCCGGTTAAACATGCTTTTCTCATGTCCTTTCTTCCAGAGATTTTAGCGATAGAGTACGATCCACTTCGGACCAGTTTCTATAGGAGTAGGTGCAAACAAAAAACGAAAGTATATTCATGGCTGAAATATAGGATTATTCCTACGCCAATTATTCCTACGAAACAAGGGTCAAAGCTATTTTTAGTCTTTCTCGCCCTTTCCTCCACCGAACCCCCTACCCCGACCCTTTCGTCTAGCGGTCTTTGTTGACTTTTTGGTGTAGAATTGAAGAAAAGGGCTTGAATATATGCATTTTCTGCCAGGTTGTGGTGAATATTCATGATTGTGAGGCTGAAGGATACAAGAGTTAAGATGTTGGTTAGGTTGAAATATAGGACGGAAATTGCATGCTTGGTTGTCTCTACTTCCAGTTTGTGTATCTCAAGTTTTCCATGATGAACATCATACGTGCTTGTGAGAAAGAGGTTGCCACATGTTGCTTCGCCTGTGGTAGAAAGCCTTCTACACAACGAAAATTTGTTGAAAAGTTAGAGCCGGTCTAAGAGACGAGAATTAATGGGGGAAATAATTGGTGATCTGTGGCCATATAATGATTCGATGCAGAATTGGGTTGTGGTATACTCAGAGCCACTGCGGACTAGTTTTTATCGGTGATGGTGTAAGATCGACGAAATAATTAGTACAAGTACAGATGAACAAGCGAAGAAGACAGGGTTGTAGTACACAGCCTTCAACTCAACCAAATTGTCAGACGGACTTAGTGTCTGTCAAATAGACGGGAATTACCGCTGGTAGAAATCGATGGTGAACACTGTGCTCAAGTCATTTCTAACCCAGATAGACGAAACTCCTTCCATCAAGAACTTCAAACGTGAACATGACGAAAGCTGAAATGTTGAACTGCTTTGAATGACCCCACTGAGATCAAAGAAGATACGTCAATAATAGAGTTATATCGCTTCGCTGCATGTGTTTACCGGAAGTTGTTATAAAACTACTGGAGAAGTCACTACGTTTTAACGAATGGACCAGTAATTCTAACATTCCAATGATATCAAAGATGAATTCTGTACGATTTAGATAAAGAGCTGATAGTTATCGCTATAATGGTCAAACACCGGATAATGAAAAGGGGATATTTTGAAAATTCCAGTAAAATTACTTCATTATGCGTGGAGTTATGGCCGTTTGTAGGACTGTGTAGTCTTGATTGTCATTGCTACCGTTGTTATAATTGTCCATTTTATAATTAAATTATTAACTGAAAATCGTGGTTAAATCGGTTGAGTTTATTATGGACATCACATGTCCATAATAACCGAGGCTAGATGTAGGATTATGCCGATTGACTGAAGAGACTGGTCATCTCGATATGTTTTCTGTGCCGGATCAAAGACAATTATAGATTGTGACGTCATTTCCATGGGTGATTTCCCTAATTCATGGTCTGTTTACTTCCAGATCCTTCTGCCTCACAATCATCAATATTCACTATACATAATTGCACATTAGCATGAGAGATATTTGCTCGTGGAGCTTCGAATGGAAAGAACATATTTACTCTTTTATTTTTTAATTAAAGATACATTATGGGAGATTTTTATAGAGAGTTGGCCATTCTTGCTATAACAGTTCAAAAGAAGATGATGAAAGAAGAATATATTGAAAATTCCAGTCAAATTACTTTATTCTGAACATAGTTATCATCGTTGTAATATTTGACTAGAAATGGTAGTGAAATGTGCCTTCACTTTGGCCGATCGTTTGATTGACAGGCGTTAACTCCACCTACATATCTCGATTATCAAGTAAAGTTTTCAATGGCATGCGGAAACGCTCTACAGCGGCCTCGCTAAGTACACTCTATCATTTAGCCTCGATCTAATTGACGTACTCTTATCAGGGTGCGCCATATTTGAATTAATCAATAAGTGAAATCCTTGTTGGGCTTGTTGTTTAAATAAAGATCTAATTTATAATTTCTATAACATCTGAAGCCTAAATTAAGACTTGCAATAATCAGATTTTGCTCTTGCATAATGTATGTTTAACGATGTCTACTGACGAGGCCGTGTATTAGTACTCAAAATGTAGTATCCAATCTCAGTAAAACATAGGTCATAATTCGTTTCGTGTTTTAAAGTCCAATATTTTATTTTCCTTATCTGCACCCGTGCAGTACAGGCTATCCAAAGTATAATTATGTAACAAAATCGAAACGAAATATAGATTTATATTTTAATCAGATTCTGTAACACCATTAAAGTTATTTGACTTGTTAGGCATATGAATTATAGAGCCACGTCAACGCCATGTTCGATATATTGTTTCAGTGATGCTAACGTAATACGTTGTTATCGTGTATTATCTAGGTCAAGGTAGAATAATTAAATTTCCTAGAACGAAAATGGTTGGACGTATCCATAACCTGGTTATAGTAAGGGTATTAAGATGCTGGGTAAAGGATTAACTTATCACTGGGTTCATTTAAGTCATCAGAGCTTTCCAATATGCCGCTCGAGTGGAATAAAGGAAAATAATGGGACGGTATATAGAAATGAAATGAAATGGGGTTTAACGTCCTACTGTTCTGCTCCTATACTGGGCTAATGAAGACGGGCATACGCCATACAGTGTGCTATGAGGGAAATTTTGCCCGGGCAGCGGCACTATCGCCTACTCTTATATCGAATTCCAACTGCTAAGGGATCTTTTACGTGCATTCCAATAGATACACGGGACCTCGGTTTTTCGTCTCATCTGAAGGACTAGACATCTGTCCTTGTCAGGCCCTCCGTCCTGCATCACTGCCAAGGGGGAACTACGCCGGAAAATCGTGATGAACTTTCTCGGCCAATGCAGGGATCGAACACCCGTCCTCCAGGCTAGCGAGCCAGCGTCTTAGCCACGTGATCCTCATGTCTCCATACAATAATAGGAATCGAGTAAGGAAATAAAAAGATGACCGTGACTTTAGTGAAACCACGTGCGCAGTATGTGACTAATCGGACCGGGACTTTAGTGAAATCACGTGCGTTTTATGGCCAAATCCATCGAGTTATTTTTCTATATATTGGTTAATCCGATCTAGCATTAAATAAAATAATTTGAAAGTAGTTTATTTTCAGAAATTGGGTTATTGTACGATAGAGACATATTTCTTTACTCAAACGAAAGAGCGTTTTATCTCTTGGTGCTGTATTGACAGGGATTTGAGAAGATGCCCAAGCTGCTTCATGTACATGGTAAATAGCACAAGACCCTTGGGGAACGCCACACTGTAACGCAGTCTCAGAGAGAGAGAAATGCGGTTTAACGTCCACTCGGGACTAATGAAATGAAATGAAATGGGGTTTAACGTCCTACTGTTCTGCTCCTATGCTGGGCTAATGAAGACGGGCATACGCCATACAGTGTGCTATGAGGGAAATTTTGCCCGGGCAGCGTCACTATCGCCTACTCTTATATCGAATTCCAACTGCCAAGGGATCTTTTACGTGCATTCTAATGTATACACGGGACCTCGGTTTTTCGTCTCATCCGAAGGACTAGACAGCTGTCCTTGTCAGGCCAGTACGGGTAAAGAGCTGTTTGGTCTTCCATGTGTTTTTCATAAAGACATAGGTGTAATTTTTAAAAATACAAATTTGCCTTTCGATCCTTAAATGTGATCCTTATATGATAATTTCATCAAGTTAAACCCCTATGATCCAAACGTCTCACTTACAAGCGGGAGCCACGGCGGCTAAGTGGGTAAAACACTGGCTCGCTAGCCTGGAGGTCGCGTGTTCGATCCCAGCATTGGCTCAGAAAATTCAACAGGATTTTCCGACGTTTGTGTGGGACGAATAACCGAGGTACCGTGTATACACTGGCATGTACCTAACAGATCCCTTGGCAGTTGGAATTCGATATAAGAGTAAGTCATAGTGCCGGTCCCTGGGGAAAAATCCTCTTATAACACACGGTATATGGCGTATGCTCGTCTTTATTAACCCAGGAGGACGTTAAACCTCGTTTTATTTACCAAAAATCTTTCTCAGTATTAATAGACATGGGATTTAAAGTAGCTAAGTCACTAACTCAATATCATCCAAAGTCTTCGACAATGAAAACACGAATTATTTGTCAATTTAAACTAACATTGATGCGATCTATCGGTGTAGACTGGAATAGCCAGACGCTAGAGATTGAAGATTGAATGTAAATCAGTTTATATACTTTCATATTACATTATCATATGCATTGCGAATTTTTTTTGTCAATTTCTAAGTCCCAAATATTAGCATTTTAGCTCCTTTAACGTCCAACTGTTTTACCCCGACTGGGCTAATAAATGGAGACGGGTTATTAGAGATATTTTTGTAATTTTTTAAAATATAGAGTTTTAGCTTTCGTTCCTTAATGTTGCTCCCTTTGTGATAATTTCATCAAGTTAAACCCCTTTGATTATCGGAAATGAGCTTATATATTTTTTCTGTCTAATATTCTGGAACAAGCAATGAATAACTAACGAAGCGAGGTATATACATCGTCCGATATTGCCTTTACATACAGATGTCCACTGACCCATGCTTGACCCAAACATATTAAGAAATGTGAAAATTATTCACTATCGATGTCCGAAGCATACAAAAACTTTCTCATGTTGTACGAGCGACTTTTTATTAACAATAGTCAATGGTAGAGCTAGGCGTAACATGAAGCAAAGAAGAACGATCAATTGCTTCGCGTGGTAAATGCACGAATGTTGGCGATTGACAACAGAAGTTTCAGTGGCTCAGTAGCCGGTATATCGCGTAAAGACGGCGCTATGATAGTCTGGCTCCGTGAAATCCCAAGTAACACGTCTTTCCATTGACTTAGTACTCTATATAACTCGCTAAAAACTACTTAAAGACAAGTGCATTGCAGTAGCTTTGTAGATTCTATTCTTTTAATGAAAATGGATATCCTCTTTTGCTTTCTGATTCATGAACTCTGTTATTATTATTATTAAGTATCGGATTTTCTCTAGATAAGCTGGACACTCATAAGAGAGGTAAGTTTAAAAAAAGTTTTTAACTTTTTACAAGTTTTTACTTTAGATATATTGCCAGGGTTTATTGGTGTAATGTTTCGGGTCTCTGGGTGTCATCTGCATTTTGCGGACCTTGATTAATATCATTCACGGTAAAATCTACTTAAATTGGTCATTTATTTGATAGGGTGAATTAAATTAAAATATCAACGGTAGATAGATTCAAATGAGGCCCATCAAAGTATTTTAGATAATATTACAGGAGATGCTGGCTTTTCTGCATCCATTTTATATCATCTGCAGAGGAAGCCGAATGTTGAATTTCTTTTAAAATTTACCATTCTTTTGTAAATATGGAATTGAATCGAAGCTGTTTTGGACTGATGTAAAAATGTAATAAAAATAATCGTTTTCTGTAGCGCTGAACATTCAGTCAGTCTGACTGCTCTGTGGCGCTTTACAATGTAGATATGATTATAAAAAAAACATACATGTATATACAAATTAACAAAAGAATACAAATGAATAGTCAAGTTACAATATACAAACGGAAAGTGAAGCATTTAAATTATAGTTCAAACGTTAGGGTAAAAAGCAGGGTTTTTAGACGTCGTTTAAATATAGCGAAGTTTGGACTATTTTGGACTTCCAGGGGCAATTTGTTCGATTCTTTTGGTGCTGCGTATGCAAATATGCAAAAGCTCTCTCACCAAATTTTGACTTCTGTACTGGACATACAAGTTGTTTTTTTATGAGATAAACGTAAGGAATGAGAAGGTACATATTGTTTAATCAAATCGGATAAATAGGATGGTGCCAATGGATCGTTTAAACAGTTGAAAGTGATTGTGTTAAATTTGAAAATACTGATATTCTTTGTAGAGATTCAACTTTCACAATATATTTTATTATTTTACAATGAATTCATCAATCCACCCTTTCATGTTCAGAGACTTGAGGGGGTTTGTATGGCCGAATGGTTAGCACGTTGCGCGCTGTATCATAAGGTCTGTCATTGAGTGGCGTGGTTTCGAATCCCCGGTTGTACGTGACAACCTCGTGAGTTTTCTCCAGGTCCTTCGATTTCCTCCCACTGCTAAAGACCCCTACGCGCAAGCGAATTATTGAAATACAATTAAACCATGTGTTAGTCACGAAATTACCTAGTTTATGTCGAGTGGACGTTAAACCCCCTCTCGCTCGGAGACTTGATTTCCTCCCACTGCTAAAGACCCCTACGCGCAAGCGAATTATTGAAATAAAATTAAACCATATGTTAGTCCCGAAATGACCTAGTTTGTGTCGAGTGGACGTTAAACCCCATCTCTCTCATAGACTTGAACTGAATGGATGAAATTTAAAGGATGCCTGCAATAAACATGTACAATAATATTTGCGAAATCCCACTTTTTATAAATTTAAAAATGTAAAACGTCCAATTGAATTTTACAGTGATCCTGGGGAATTTTTAAACACCAGGTTACCGCTTTAACTAACTGTTAGCAACGATTTTAAATGATAATGTATTTTAAAATTTTACGCTGTCGTCAATTAAGGTTGATAAGAAAAAATAAACCGCAAAGTTGGGATTTTATTCAATTTTACTTGGAAAATAAATTGAAGTGGGTTTGAAGTCCCGCTGTTCTGCCTCAACTTATCGTATTGCAACTGTTAAGGGATCTTTTACGTGCACACCCACGTTTACACGGAAAATCCTGAGGGACTATCACCGATCTCCTTGTAAGTCGGCCACCGTGTCCCCTTTTTCTCCTTGGGCCAGGCCATCAACCTGAAAAGTCAATATTAATGAAAGAACTCATTTTCTTTTGGTATCTGTTTAACCGATTCTTGGATTGTTTTGATTTCCCGAATGACAGTGTAATTTACTTTGCATCTAAATTTGTATCAGGTTTTTGAATAATATCTGCAAAAACTTGCCAAGAAACTGCTCGGCGGTGTGACTACCCTCGACTCGAGAACTATCATCTAATCGAAACTGGTAAAAACTTGAGAAAATATGTAAATACATTTAACTTAGGATTTTTTCAGGAGATAACTAAAGATGATTATTTAACTGAAAGTTGTATTAAATTACGGTTTCAATAAGACCTATTTCCATATTTATTAAATATTTATGAACAAATTGTTAATATCAACTCCAAAACCTATTTTAATCCCCAATTGATTGATAATAAAGTTTTTTGGAACTTTAAAATGGATGGAATTCGGTTTAAAGCCCTATTTCCATTGATTTAGATTAGAGTTGAAGTCCCGTCAACATATTAAAGGGCGTATAGTTCTTTGGATCCTTAAAATGGATGAAATTTGGTCTAACGCAAATATAAGAGAGCTTATAGCTCTTTTCATTGGAACCTTAAAATGGATGAAATTCGGTCTAAAGCAAATATTAGCTGTTCATTGGAATCTTGAAATAGACGAAAGTGGTCAAAAGCACACTTTAATATACCATGAATATATTTGCATTCAATTATTTAAAAATATTTCTAATTTCTAACCAAAGTTGAGCAATCCATGTGGACTAGTATTTTAATTTGTGTTTTTATTGTGGAATATCGTGGATAATATTGGGTTAAGAGCTAGCTAGCTATACGCCTTTTATCATAAGATAATTGTTCTATTTTCTATGGTTCCATGCGCAAAGTGGGATATAAAGATGTGTCTCATGACATCGGCGCCTTGCCCTACCTTTCATCGAATCCCAACATTCAGTGGTTCTTCAAAAAGGTTGACATTGATTAATGTCCTATCCGGGTACGACCCGCCGTGATTGACGATCATGAGCTAAATATCTCGAAAGGTTTTTCTCTACCCAGATATAGCGATTCGAACCTAAGTAATATTTACCTGCATACAAAGCCACTTATCACAAACAAACCTTGTTTTGGTAGTCAACCAATTTGAGATTTAAAGTTTTCTAACTTTGTATTGTGAAAACGCAGGGCCCGCGACAGGTACATCATGGCCCTGGAACAAGCAACTCGGTGAGGGAGGGTCCGGGGGAGAGGGGTACTTGAAAAGCTTTAAAAGATACAGTCTTTAGCGTCATTTTGGTGTATATCTTCTCGGCTTACCGCAAAAGGTCACTTTGTTAAAGTACATTAGTGTCGCCTGTCCAACCTCGTGGGTTTTCTCCGGGTCCTCCGGTTTCCTCCCACTGCTAAAGACCCCTCCGCGCAAGCGAATTATTGAAATAAAATTAAACCATATGTTAGTCCCGAAATGACCTAGTTTGTGTCGAGTGGACGTTAAACCCATCTCTCTCTCTCTCTCTCTCTCTCTCTCTCTCTCAGACTGGGCGTTGTTGACTTTAATAAATGAATATTGCTACTTTAAGCAAAGGTTGTATGAAATCATGGATTAATACCCAGCAAGAAGGTGAACAGCTGTTTATTTTTTAGGATTTGCAGATGGTGTAATTTAATGATAAATTTAAATCTTGTTGATCAGTAGTACATATTTTCATCCATCCAATATTTGATATCTCTTCCAGTAGAAAGTGAAGTAGTTTATTAAACATGCACTATGCAAGTGCTAAATCTGCCTATTGCAGGTCTTTCATTAGGCTTGAAATGTTATATAAAGTATTAATTAGACATTAACCATAATCAACTCTCGATGTCATCGCTAGCCTGTGATATTTACTGGATTAGGATGCGATTTAATGTTCAACTTTCATTCATGATTAAATCATGAAGTGGATAATAGAGACTATGTTTTTTATCGTACCGACTTTAGTAATGATGATCGAGGCTTACAGGCTTAAAATTCAAAAGCTAATATCTTGGTTACAGTTGAGCAATTTGACTGAAATTTCAACATCTTCTATTTGCGTTATCTAGTTTTTTAACAATTATAGAGAGAAGAGTCAACTCTTTATCTAATCTCCCGTAATGTATCTTTAATTATTTGTGGTGGTTGAGGGCACTGGCTCAATAACCAGGAGTTGGTCGTTTAAGTTCTGGATTGTCCAACCCGTGTTTCTCTCATGGTTTTATTTAACTTAAGAGAGAGAGAGAGAGAGAGAGAGAAATGGGGTTTAACGTCCACTTGACACAAACTAGGTCATTTCGGGACTATCATATGGTTTAATTTTATTTCAATATTTCGCTTGCGCGTAGGGGTCTTTAGCAGTGGGAGGAAACCGGAGGACCCGGAGAAAACCCACGAGGTTGGACAGGCGACCCTACTCCTTGCCACGTACAACCGGAGATTCGAAACCACGCCAGTCGACTCAATGACAGACTTTATGATACAGCGCGCGCACGCTAACCATTCAGCCATCCAACCCCCCATTTAACTTAAGAGTAGAACGTGAAATAGTTTATTAATGAATGATTCGTGGGGTTTTGTGTTTGTGGTTGTGCTTGGTGGCTGGAGAAATGAAATGAAATGGGGTTTAATGTCCTATTGTTCTGCTCCGAACTGCGTTAATGAAGGCGAGCATACGCCATACAGTGTGTTATAATGAGGGCAATTTTGCCTGGACAACTTCCAAGGGATCTTTTACGTGTACGCCAATGTGTACACGGGACTTCGGTCTTTCGTCCCATCCGAACGACTAGACAGCTGTCCTTGTCAAGCGCTCGGTCCCGCATCACTGACAAGGAGGTGAGGGGGGACCACGCCGGAAAATCTGGATGAAATTTCTCGGTCAATGCAGGGATCGAACACCCGACCTCCAGGCTAGTGAGCCACCATGACCCCCGGTGGCTGGAGGGGAATCACCGTGGCTCTAGTCAGTGACCTGACAACATCGTGGTTTGTTTATCTTACAGTAGAAAGTGAAATAGGTTTTTAATGAATCATTGTTGGGGGTTTTGGCTATGTGGTTGTGTTTGGTGGCTGGAGTGGCTGGGAAAATCACGGTGGTTCAGTGATTATGGCGGTGGCTCAGAATCCAGGCGGTCTTCGAGTAGAATGTTTATTAATTATTCGTGGTGGTTGGAAAGGGATTCACGGTGGCTCGGTGAAAAGGGCGGTGGCTAAATAACCAAGAGTTT